CTCACTGGGCATAAGTTAATGGCATAGCCAGGAGTGTGTGACTCCTCTTGCCCAATCCTGAAAGGTGCTCTTCCTTCCTGTACTGGCCTGCACTTTATGCAGATCTGTTTCTACTTCCCACACTGACCTGTGCTTTTACTGTTTGTGCTGAACTTTAATGAATTGTTTGCCTAATTAGAGTGCACCCTCTTGGTCCCTGGGTGTAGAGCCAGAAGTTCAGGAGTTCTTAAGTTTTGGAAACACTGTATCAGCTCTTTGATGGTCGTGGTAAGGAAGCCTTCCCCACCCCAGACAGAACAGATAGCTTTCTTTTTTGGTTCCCAGAGATGTAAAGCATAGAGCACAGCTAATAAATAATGCATACTCTCAACTCGTGCATCTCACAAAGTACTAAAATATTTTTGGATAGCTACTTATATGCATGCATGTCTCTCCTTTTATGTTCTGACCTACTTATACATGTTTGATACAAAGTAGACACTCAGATCAAACTTTTCCAGCTCATTCAACTCTTCATTATAGAACCATTTTGAAGGATGCTCATAGTCACACTTGCTCTGATGAGAGTATATGAAAATATACTTTTATTTCCCATGATTCTGGACCCCATTCTTCTTGGGATTCAATTGAGCTAGATTTTGTTGTTTTTGTTTTTGTTAGTGATGTTACCTTCTCAAATTGTACTGTGCTCTAACAATGTAATATTAATAATCCCTCATTCTCTTCATATGAATTGCCATTGAAATGCGTGTGTGTCTCATCCAGCTGAAATTTTTAAAATTAAATACTGAAACTTCTATTCATCCCCTAAATAATACATTTCAATTTCTTTCATTCATTTTTGAATCAGACTATTTTTTAATATTCCATTGTAGATTACCATATTGCCTCAAATTTCCTGGCACTTCCTTGTCATTGTTTCTTCCTTTTTGATCAGAAAATCACACAAAATTGATTCTCCTCATTGCTTCAGTTTTATAGTGTAGTTTTTTCCTCAAATCAAGGCAGAATTTATGAGATGTTCTGCTTTTAGAGAAATGAAACTGACAGCAGATGCCCCAAAAGATGATTCTTTATTCTACATTAGAAATGCAGCCTATAGTATATTAAAGTAATCTCATCCTTTTGGTTTTCTGTGTTAGCCTTTATTCTTTTCACTTATTTTCATTTATTCAGCAATTACCCTGTGTCAAGGGGACTGGATAATGGGAATACCAATAAGCCACAAGCTATGATTCAGGTAGTATGACTTTCAACCTTTAAATATGAATTTCATGTTAGGACATACCTTATTGACTCAAAAATGTTATCTTTCATGGCTCGATTATACCTGTTCCATTTGAACATGTTACTGTTTCCATTCCCAAATTTCAATAAGGACCATTATTTCAATATGGACCATTTTTTTTTAATTTTAGTGAAATAGAATTGATTATTTCAAGAGTACATTGAATGTTGTAGGGAGAAATAATGGTAAACGAAGTTTTAACTGCCTATGCTGAACTTTAATGAATTGTTTGCCTAATTAGAGTGCACCCTATCGGTCCCTGGGTGTAGAGTTGGAAGTTCAGGAGTTCTTAAGTTTTAGAAACATTGTATCAGTTCTTTGAAGGTAGTGAAGGAAAATAGGCCATTAT